ATCACTAACCGCAACAGTCCTATGCCTGTACCGGTTGCCTGTGCCGGCCGGTTGCGATATGAACCCACATCAAGTTCATCACTCCAACTCCTTCTTTCACAACGTATATGAAAAAGGCTTGTTTATTATTTTCCTGCCTTCATTCACCTGTCTCATCGGTGCTGTTATGCTGTGATTTCCTCTGTTCCCATTCCTCGCCAAGCCATGTTCCTGCGCCTGTGATATACAATCGTCTCTCATGTTCCGTCAGTCCCTCGCAGCAGACAGCTGATTTTCCCGGTGTAATTGTGCCTGCCGGTGCTGTTCCGGCGTGCTGTGCTGGTCGTGATTGGCGTCTGTTTTCTGTGCGGAACGGAGCGCGTTGGATGCCGGCCGGCCGGCCGAGGGAGCCTGCGGGCCCGCCGCCGCCGGCGCCGGCCTGGACTGTATCGATCTCCGTTACACTGAGCGAGCTAGCCCGGGCCGCCCGGGCCGCCGACTGGCACACAACGGCACGACGGGGAACGGCGCCGTGACAGGGTATAAAACGGCACGACAAAGCGGCGTGGTACGGCACACAACGGCACGACAGGGAACGGCGGTACTAAATGGCACGACAGGGGACGGCAGTGCGACACGGTAGGTACAAAACGTCACGACAAAGCGGCATAGTACGGCACACAACGGCACGACAGGTGACGGCGGCACGACGTGGTATAAAACGGCACGACAGGGAACGGCGGTACTAAACGGCAGGACACGGCGTGACGGCAAGCCAATACACGGCACAAAACGACACGATACGCCACGACACGACACGACACGGTAAAACACGGAAAGCACAAAACGAAACTACACAGCACAAGATGGCAGGACACCGTACGAAACGGCACAACGCGTTACAAAACGACACGCACCAAACGACACGATAACAGTAGAACGACGCGACGTAAAACGGCACAAGTATAGAACGACAAAGCACGACACCACGCAGAACGGTGCGGAATACCTATGGCGTGCCGCGTGACACGATGATAAATGGTACTAGGTCATGAGGCACTGCATGTCACAGGACATCAGAGAACGACGCAGACGGCACAGTGTAGAGTGGCGTATAATAGACCATCATTACACGGTCTGAAACATTTTGGCGAGCTCGACACGTGATGTAAAACAATAAAGGTTCGTTATCTATTGGACTGATGGGTGAAACGTCCTTGTAAGTCAGACGCCAGCATGACAAATATTTTTGAAAAGCAAAACAATGTAATTGTGGAGAACGGGATGGGTGGCGAAATGACCGCTTGCATGAGTAACGCCATGTTAATGCCTTTTTAGGCATTATTTTTCGTTTTTAGCTGGTAATCTGTTGACAGGTCATGTAGCTCATATAGACGAGACATGGTGCCATTCTTCGATACACACATCATACATCTTTTAACCCTCGCCCCGTTGGGGGCCCCCCTGTGGTTTTTCCTGAATAGCAAGAAAAAGGCGGCGCGCAGCGCCGCCAAATTTTCAGTACCTTCCCGGGCATCAATTTGACACATTCACACAAATTTCAAGTCTTAGGTCACCTTAGGTCAGGAGTTATTGAGGTCAAACTGAGGTCATGTTCGAGCAAAAATGAGCAAAAAAACATGCGATCTTGAAACGCTCACCAAATCTACAGTTACCAAGCAATTTCAAAGTTCTTTATATGGTCTAGTAGACAAAAAGCGGCGCTACAAAACTGCTATCTCGGATTTTCAAAGTTTGGGGTTTTTGACCCCCAAAATTCAAAAAAAAAAATTTTTAGAAAAACTCAAAAAATCCAAAAAAAATCCGAATTTTGAAAAAACCGGAATATGTGTGATAGTCCCTGCGCTCTTCTATGTGCATACCAAATTTCAGATCGATATCTCGTTTTTTGGCCAAGTTATAGTGAAAAAACTGTTCAAAAATGATGACGTCAAATTTTTGAACTCAATTTTTAGCGATTCTAGACCACGTAGGGCAAAACAAAGACCACCATTGAACTCCCCGTGACGATCTGCATCGAATCAATACCCATTTTATGCAAAAATATCAACTTTGAAATTTGACCTAATTTGACCTGACCTTGACCTGACCTTGACCTGACCTTGACCAAAACGTGACCTAAGCTGGCCCCAAAGGCTGCCTGACCCACATAATCGCATTTGTCATGTAAAATGGACCATAAAACATGTATTACACGACACTTTCATATTGTGACCCCCCAGTGACCTGACCTCTGTGACCTGACCTGGTATCAGTGACCTCAAATAGCAAAATATGTGTTTGAAGAACATTTCCCCATCGATGATTTTCAATGAAATGCATTTTACTCGATTTTACAACGCATTTCTTGAAATGCCTGTAAACGATGAACATTCGACCTTTGACCTGACCTGTGACGTCATCGGTTTGACCTAGGTCAATAAAATTGGGTCACAAGGTAGTTCCCTGATAGGGCTATCCAACACCGTTTGCCGCTTGTCGCTAGGTTGCGTGGTTCTCGAGATCTTAGGGGGGGGGGGCAAATTGCCCCCCCCAACAGGGCGCGTTGCTCGGCAGAGCCCAACAGGGCGCGGGTTAAAAATAATGGCCTGCCTCCAAGCCACCCGAGGAGTGGCTCGAGAGGACTGAGGATGGGAGAAATCAATGGCCCACATTATCAGTGAAACTGGAGACTGAGTGACGAACAGCAGAGGGCTTATGTGCCTCAGTTGCCTCAGGTCAGCCCTCTTGCACCTAAATTGGGCTCATCTTCCCACCACCTTTTCTATTTTATGTGCAAAAAACAAGAAGACAAGCGCGGGAAGTCCACAAAATAAAATCAAAGCACTTGTCCAAATTAAGCCCCCAGAACTCAATAGCAGGCACACCGCAAACACATGTGTCAAACAAAAACCTTTGACTGCAGCGTTCTCGCGATGCCCTCGGGGCCTCATCTCTGTTCTCGTGCCGGTGGTAACCGGTTCGGAATATAAACCCCAGTGGGAGCGACCTCCCATAATGGATCGATCCCAGAGGCGCTGGAAATGGCCGATCGCAGGCCGTCGGTAATGGTCGAGAGGGCTCTTCACATGCCTTCGAGGAGAGGGTGACAGAGAAGGAGGGACGTAGAAGGGAGACGCTCTGTGGTGACGTAGAAGGGGGAGGGGGGCGGAGGACGCTGGTGGTGCTTGGGATGGATCAGATGGATGAGACAGAAACAGAGACAGAGGGGATGGACGGACATAGGAAGTGGGCGAGTAACTCAAAATTCGATGGAAACGGGCTGAATGGGCCGGATTGGTTTGGTGCGGAATGAATTTAGGTTGGCGGTGTGAGTTGAAAAAGCCAGCAGTGAGCAAGCTACCATACTCGTATATGAGGCAAACTGAGTTCAAGGCAGATGCAAAGGTAATATTTTACAGGACTGAGTCAGACTAAGCAACGGCAGCTGGAGAGGTCCGAATTACAGCTAGTTTTTTTCCCAAACAGCGTGCTTTAACTCACAAAAATCACGCTGATACCGTTATCTAATGTGAATATTATCCCAGTAGCAGCTCTACCCTCATTTTTATTCGGCTGGAACACCATAAATCACTAGACCATCAACAGGATGCCGCTGCGTGTTAACAGCAGAAGTTGCAGCATGCTGCAGAGGTCGGCGGGGGTGGAAGGGAGCAACAGGCACCTCGCTAAGTGGAAGCAGCCCACAGGCGGTCCAAGTTTGGCACCAGTAATGACGCCGATAACAGAAATGGTATAAGTATCAGTCGTCGGCAACATTAACGGGGTCGTCGGGAGGCCAGGGGAGCAACAGGACCCCAATGATGACGACCCGGCCACGGCAGCAGCGGCCCGATCGTGCCAGTCCTAATGAAAAACGGCACGGACATGACAGCGCGATATCGTGCAGCGACTAATGAAAAGCAAAAAACGGCAGCCCGAGTCGCAATTATGGACATGTTTTTCATAACTCTGCCTACTAATAGCAATGAAGGTAATTATTGCATCTCGTCCAACAAATTACCCCTGCTCGTTTTTTGCATCAATGAAGTGGTGCTTTCCTCAGTTTTCCCAGAACCAGCGCAGGGAGGCATACGCGGGCTACACCAACGTCCAACATAGCAACAAAATGGCGCGTTATTCCCAATTGTTAAATTGTTAATTTTACTTCATCTGGACTTTCATGGAAAGACTCCAGGCTTTTATGGTTTAGGTCTCTCCCTACCCTAGCCGGCCGAAAGTGATTGAGGCGACGCACCATAAGTTTTCGTACATCATTGGAGAGGCTAGAAGCAGCTCAAACAAAAACGCTTTACTAAAGTTAACCACGTGAGTAGGCATTGAAATCAATAGAAACGGACGACCACGCTGTCAACACTACAGCTCGTAGAAAGCAGCTGATATTGCTCCAGCTCAGTGCGCACGGCCCGTATTCGTTCTGGTGATTGGTGTATCTGCCTGACCAACAAAGTAGATATTATTGTCTCTCTGTATGTAGTCTATCAATTTTCACAGTCAGTTCCCTGTCCGGATGGCTGGCGATACGTGTGCTGATCAGTTGGATTCTGTCGCGTCAGATCCGCTGCACACGGTCCGCCGCCTCGTTCCGAGAACAGAAGCGCCTTTGGTGATTGTGCGAATACTGTCAGTTCAGTTCCATGGTCGGTCCACACGGTCAGTCAGCTCTTCGCGATACTGTCGTCTCTACAAGTTGCCAGTAGAAATGTGTTCGGGGTTATTTTTACATTTAATGGTGTTTCATTATGGCCGATAACTGCTCAGCGCCGACACGACGACCAGCGCTTCTGCTAACCAAACAATTATTTTTATTGTCCCGGGACTACCAACACCTTATAGTGACATGCACATCAACACCTTATAGTCCTAAGCGTTCACAACGTGGTTTATCTAACAAATGCCTCTGATCATGTAAATTGTTTTGCCCCAGATTTATTTACATATTCAGTGCCATTTCAGAATGATAGCCACCTCCACTGACTGACTGAATCTGCTCGTTTCAGCTCGATTCACACCGTCAGCACTCTATTCTCGGGACTGATGCTGCTGCTGATCATGAGCCTCTTCATGCTGCCCATACAGTGGATGAAGGTCAGTTAATGGCACTAGCGCTGTTTAGCCGCCCTTATCCGATTAGCTCCGGACGTGTGGTGTGTGCTCACCACTATTTGCCGACGGTACAGACGTGCGTACTCGTAAATACAAGTGGGATGCTTACGGCTGTGGCTCAGAGGACAAGCCCACTGGTAGCCAGAACTGCGCTAATGTCACTGGGAAGCTGCAACTATGAATGCCGGAGGCCAACGTAACATTTTTTTTTTTTTGCTCACTCCTGCTGACATATTTTTGTATCAAGGACATGTGGTTTTGTCGAGCATCTTGCAGTGTGACGTCCAGTTACTACATTAGTGCTCTAGTTATTTTATTTATTTATTTATTTATTTATTTATTTATTTATTTATTTACATAGACACAGTTGTACCGTGTAGATATCGACTCTTGTGAAACGGTTGCTACTCAAAAGACTTGTTTCTAGGGGAGTACTTAGGGAATGTGTGCCTCGTTGCTCAGTTGATATAGGTTGAGAGCTCTCTGCCACGAAGTATGTCGTGCTGCAAAGCCACCTGACCCTAGCCTGTGTAACTCAGTGGACGGTAATATGCGGTCGGTCGCCAATTTCACATCAGTTCCATTTGGTATTCGACAGGCTTTAGTGTCGTACAAAGGTCACGCCATGTTACAATTAAGTTAGGCGATGCAAACCTAGTTAGGCATTCCGGGTATTCGTAACTATGAATGACTGATCTCGGTTCGAAGGAGTAGTGCCTGCTGCCTTTGGTGGATAATTTGATTGTAGTGTTTGGCCCGCCATGAGCAGGATCTTTCCGAAGCTTGTTCCGTATTTCAGCTTCTGGTTGGTCCCACCTTGGAAATATTCCCATTGTCTACTGGGAGTTCCAAATTGAAAAACTCTTTATTATGTTTATTTTATAGGTACGTAATTTTCACCAACGACACCATCTTTATACACAGGTGTATTTTTATGATGATTTTTTGTTAGCCTTTGAACCTCTTAAAGGGAAACACAGCTCAAACGGACAGTATTTGTGGATCGTAGCAGCACGCTGCGGTCATGTGCTGATGCAGTCTCGTCTGTCTGCCCGCGTTCCAGAGGATGCCCGGTTGGCTGTCTTCAGTCGGCTCTGTGATCCAGGGCTCCAACACTCGCACCATGTGCTGGCTGGTCAGCATGAACATCCTGCTGTCGCTCTGCAACCTCATCGACATGGTGAGTGTCGCCGAGCTCATGGGCAATACCCAGCTCATCGGTCCGACGACATTCAGCCGGCTGTCACTGACACTCAGTCATTTCTGACAATCAGTATCTCTCAGGCTGCTAATCGTCTGATCAATTATCGTCAGTGTCCGTCAGTTGTCCAACAAGGCGAGGTTGACCGGGTTTGCAGTGCTGGATGGAAACGTATTGTGTGTGGAGATGAACTGTTTTTCTTTTGTACTTGCACTAGGTATATTTGTATTATTTACTGTTATTTACTGCAGGTATGTACTCAGATATCAGACATAAGTGAGCGAGAATTATGTCGGTAGATTCACCTGAGGAGATGTTCTCTCATATCATTACCTATCTGAAATTGTTTGCACAGATTGATCGCGCTCTCTCTCGCTCTCGCTCTCGCTCTCGCTCTCTCTGTCTCTGTCTTTGTCTCTGTCTCTGTCTCTATCTCTGTCTCTCTCTCTCCTCTCTCTCTCTCTCTCTCTCTCTCTCTCTCTCTCTCTCTCTCTCTCTCTCTCTCTCTCTCTCTTTCTCCCTCTCTCCCTTCGGTTACCACCGTTCTCTTCCTCGTCACCACTGCGCCTCGTGTCCCGTCCCTGTGGCACAGCCGCCGTCCTGTCTGGTTAGACTGTACCGCAACACAGCCGTGTCCTGCGGCACAGTATCACAAACCGAGACGGCCGCCGTTCCCAGGCCTCGCCAGTGTGATTCAGTGGGTAGTTATCGCTGTTACCCTTTTTTCTTTCCTCTTTCATTCAACCTCTATCAATAACCTCGCTTACAATTCTTGTTCTCATTTTTTTCTTTTATACCTCTCATTCTCATTCTTTTCTTTTTTCTTCTGTTTCTTTCTTTCTTCTTTGCCTCTTCATTTGCTTTCCTCTTATTTTCCTTTTCTCCCTTCTCTCCCCTATTCCTTTCTTTCTCCTTTCATTCTTGTTGTCTCAAACTGTGATGCTCTCGACAGGCTTCCTCTTTTGACATCGAGACCCTAAGACTCTTCCTTACCTACCTTGTGACTGAATTAATAACAGTGATCGCTATCGCAGTAACTATCGCTCTATAAGTGGCACTGCCATCGCCTAGTCCGCGGACCCAGTAGCCGTAACCCTCCCCTCCCCTCACCCTCAGGTGATGTGCCCGCTGCACGACCGGATGGTCAGCCGCTCTGCTGCGGCCGCGCCCGGCCGTAACGCCAGTGCCGTCCGTCCGCCCGTCTGCACTCCGCCGCCTCCCAGCGTGGTGCTCCAGCCGCACTCCAGCTGCGCCTACCCAGCCTACTTCACCTACTTCACCGTGCTGATCCTGAGCACGTACCCGGTGCAGGTGGAGCTGCGGCATGTTCTCAAGCTGCCGCTGCTACTGATCACGGCTGGCCTGCACGCCTGGATTAACGTCTTCTGGCTGGGAGACGTGCTGGACTGTGTGGGCTCCAGTGTCTACCATTATCAGGGGTGGGTGCGGCGCTGGCAGATGTGCGACAGCGATGGCTATCGTTCCATGTTATATTTTACATTGTATAAAGGAATATGATTCATTTTCTAAGTTGGTAAGATTTACATCATTTTGTGAACCGGCAGGCTATGACAGCCTTCTGTCTTCTTATCGTGATGACGACATTTCATGCTCATTTTATTGACGATATCATTTTAAACCTGCTCTTGTTGATACATAATTTCCATAGCGCTCTTGCCGATAACCGTACTCTTGCTAACGGTAATTCTCATTCCGTAGCTGATGTTAACATTCCTCCCTTTAGCATCCCGTTATAGCTCATTCACAATCATCACCCCCCCCCCTGCCTCCCGCAGCCTCCTGCCGGAAAAGTACGAGCTCTGTCTGGTCCTGGCCATCACCTGTGCCGTCGTCATTGTTCTTAACGTGCACACGGAGCTCACATCACGGGCAGCCTTCCTCTGGAAACGGGAGATGGCACAGCAGCAGCGAGAGGCCGCCTGCCTTCAGGAGAAAAACGAGTCACTGGTGAGTCGGGACTGGACTCTAGAGGTCTGCACCGGCCGGCTGCAGCCGCGGCTGGCTGCAGCCCCACGGCTGTGGGCCGGGGCGGCTGCAAATATCTCCAAGAACACGGCTACGGCTGTGGCCACGGCTGTGAGATTTCAAGCTCAATCTTAAGTACTCAAATATAAAATTTTAAATCCTTAATCTTACATTCTGATAAGCAGCCTAGCCTGTAAAAATCATGCAAAGGATGCCCAGCAATATTGAAAGTGGTGAAGCCTTTGAAAACCTGTAATGGTTTTACCATTTGCTGTAGAAGAGTTTGCACTCTGGTACAGAATACTAATTATAGGCACCAATTGTTCCTTCATCATCAATAGCTTGACAGTTTCAGAAAATGCAACATGTTGCTGTCACATCCCCCTCAAATCAATCTCAATCTTACCTGGTCATTAGGAGAGCACCTTACAGCTATTGAAGATGAGCGTTCAATAATTCTTTCAGGTAATAGAAAAAGAAATCACGCCTAGGTAAAGGCAGGTAAAGGCTTCATAAAATATTATCTAAAATAACTCTTAGATGTACTTCTGGATTTTCGGCAAGTCCAATTACATAATATAAAACTGGCGCTTTATGTTCTAACTGGCGTGTGAGTGACCGCTAACAGAAAATGCTGATCAACGAAGCCAATGGAATTAGATTATAAGTGAGTATGAACCTTATTTACGGTTAATTCACATGATGGTGGAAACCCTGAACACGTAATTCACATGACGGTGAAAACCCTGAACACAATATTTCTTACGCGAGCTGTTGATTTTACTAATATAATGACGTCTTCCTCTAAAAATGTAAAAATTTGATAATTGATATTTGTTTGAGAGCAAATTTTTAACTGTATAGCATTATTATTGATTAATTATGATTTCTATGGCTGTTTATGGTGACACAAAACAATTTATTGCCACTTCTTTGCTTTTTACGTCATTTGACTCAAGTAAAATTTTTGATTGAAAGAGCAATCGCACGTCCTTGGGGATTTGAGCGAAGATCATTATTTGGAAAAATCAAAATAGATGAATGTTTTTCTTTCTTGGATGCTCACTAGTGTTTTGATGCCTTGCATATCAAATTAGTTGGAGACTTGCTCAGAAGGTTGCTTCAAGCCTGGCATATCACACCCCAGAAAATATGCAGGGTAAGAAAGAAGCAAGAGTTTTGACTAGACAATCACTGTTTGTCCATCAACTTCAGTTTCATTTTCCATACCTAACATTGATAATGAAAAGCATCAGGGTCTGTTGTTCTGTCCCACAACCATGCTTCAGGATTTGGCATTAGATGTCTATTCTACACTGCTAGTGCTTCTATTCTGGTTCGTTGTTTATGTTTTCTGTTGATGTAGGTACCTACCTTACCTAACCTACCCATCTTTCTTAACCCCTTGCAAGGGCTTGTGTAGGCATGCGATGCGCATCAGGCTTCAGGCCTTCGGCCTAAAGCCAGATACACAACCACTTAGCCTATGATGCTTCATGAGCTTGAGAATCTATAGCCCATTGCAATGTGCTTTTGGCTATATGTTTCAACTAAAAACAACTTATTATATACTATTTGGTTGCATTTCATCACGGCCGGCTGACGGCTGGCTGCCCACAGTTTGCCACGGCTGTGGGCGGCTGTGGCTGTGGAGCCACGGCTGCGGGGCGGCTAGGCTGTGGAAAATTGCAGCCGTGCAGAACTCTACTGGACTCTCAGGGGCGCGTTTATGGGTCAATGTCGGAAAACCGGTAAGGATTGACTCCAGGACTACTTTAGTATGCGGCAGATATAAGAAAATATTTGCATCCGTATTCACTGCAGCTCTCAGGTTAAAGAAAAATATTTTCACTTGTGTAACTTTATGCTTCATCGGTGTGGTGCCCGTGACCTTATGCATACAGTATGCTTAGCAGTCACCTTTCCCTGTGCTGCACATTTCCAATGCGGCCATTCCATCCACTTCCCTCGACGTTAGCTGTTTCTGACACCGACTCCAACCCACGGCACAGTTTCTCCCCTGGGCGCCCACTGGTCGTCCCACTCGGTTGACGTCTGCCCTTGACACCTCAAAGGCCGGTGTCGGCGACAGAGCGTCCAGCTCCGCGGGGTATCGGGAACCAGAGTGGGACCACAGTGCCACGGCTCTGATTGGGCCGGGACGCCCTCGCGTCGGTCTGTGCGCCGCAGGGCAAACAGATGTCACTGGGGCCTGTGTGGGCTGTCACTCCAAACCAATACGGCTGATACACAACCTGACGCGAGATCGCGCGTTAACCGAAAGGGTGGCAGGGGATCAAAGTTCAAAATGGGCTGCACTGAAAAGCTTGGCTTAGGTTGGCAACATGAATAATACAGCATATGTGCTTATATGCAAAATGTTGCTATTGCTTGCTTATGTTTTTGCAAAAAGTTTAGACGATATGATTTTACTGGCAAATTTATGAGGCTAGAATTCTTAAAAGCCATGCTATCGGCTGAAAGAGTGCACAATGCACAAATATTGACGTCTGCTAACTAAAGCCGAGCTTCTGACTAATCTGCATTGGTAGACCCGGCTTACCTCGAACTGGCTTGTAAGTCAGATGACGCCATAAACCACGGACCATCCTCAGCATTTAGGAGGCACCCGACACCAAAAAAGATGTAACTACTAACTAAACTCCCACAAAGCCAGGACGCTGACATAGCCATCCAGTCCTAACCTAACCGATCAGTGGACTCTGCCGCCATCTTGAATAGACCCTAAATGCCCACATCAGTCTCGAGTCGGCTGACGTTTCTCTTGATGGTGCCCCAGGTGGAGAACTTGCTGCCGCAGCACGTGACGCAGCACTTTCTCAAGGTGGATGTCACCACCAGCCAGCACGAGGAGCTGTACGCTCAGTCGTTCGACGAGGTCGGCGTCCTCTTCGCGTCCATGCCCAACTTTGCTGGTGAGCTTCGCTTTGGATAAAAACAGTGGTCTCAGCATAATATTTGCTATTCAAATCAGTTGAGCAGTTTTGTTGTTCTCTGCGTAGAAGCATAACGCGTGGTCAGTTGGTAAGAAATGGATGCATGGTAGCTTCAGGGCAGTGCAACTTTGCCACCAATATTATGTACAGCCCACCGCTAAAGTAATGCAGGGTTTTACCAATCTCAACGGTTGGCTTTGACTGGCGATTGTTTAATGCGGAGTGATCGAAAAGAAGATGTCAATAGCTAAAGTTGCAGCTGCAAGGGTGACGATACATACAGTCAAAGTTTCATTGTAGTCTGGCTAATCGTTCCTAAGCTTCAGAAGCAGAACATACCCATGACTGAAACCTCACATTACTTCTGCTGTGGACTGTACCTAATTGTATAGAGTGGTTTGTATGGCTTTCAACAATCGAGATTGACTTGCAAAACATATTATTTGCTATGCTATTGTATTAGTTAATCGTCAAATTTCATGTCGGCAGATTTCTATACTGAAGAATCGGTGAACAATCAGGGTCTGGAGTGTCTCCGTTTTCTGAACGAAGTTATCTCAGATTACGACGCGGTAAGTCATGTGAAGAATCATGGCCCTCGCATTGTGGCATTTTTGTGTGGTTTGATTCTGCTGTCGTTCAAGGATATAGGGTATGATATTATCCAAGAAAGCGGTCTTATAGACAGTTTGAAGATGGTTTTGGCAAGCAACTGTCAGGCCTCGCGGCGCCTGTTAAGACTACTAACCTCCTGAGTACTGATTAACTGTGTGTGTGTGTGGGTGGGGTGGGGGTGGGGGGGGGGGTGGGGTATGTATCTTTTTGTCGCATGACGATGCTGAATAAACAATAATAATAATAATAATAATTATGACACATTTGACATAACATAATGTTCTCGCTGATGTCCACCGTTTGACTTGACAAGATCTTTTCCCTACAGTTGCTCGACTCGCCAAGGTTTCGAGGCATCTCGAAAATCAAGACTATTGCATCATCCTACATGGCAGCTAGTGGTCTAGTGGCCTCGCAAGAGCTCAAAGTAAGGAAGACGCTCGTCATATCATCCCCCTTTGTTGTAAATAAAGAAATTATTCTTTTCATTTTAACCCGCGCCCGGCTGGGGGTCCTGGATTTCCACGCCCTGCTGGAGGGGGGTGCTCCTGGGCCACGTAGCGATACGCGGAAGGCGGCGTTCGAAAGAACGTCAAAAATAATGAGGAAATCACTTCGGTCAATTTTTTGGTCAGGTCAAAGGTCAGGTCACCAGAGGTCATTGAAGGCAAAATTTCGCCGATTTCCAGGTCGAATGTCGAAAATTTGCAAGAAGCCAACGCATAACTCGGGAACCAATAGAGCTACAGCGCCGCGGAAAAGCGCATTCGATAGCCCTATTAACGCCCTTTCTGAATAATTCTCTCAGATTTGACCTAACGTCAACGGTTTTGCCTGCAGGGGGCAAAAACCGCAAAAATAGCCGATTTTTTCGGAAACAGTTTTTCGCAATAACTTTTGACCCAAGCCTTGTACGAGCTTACTTTTACCGGCATCGTGTTCCTCTCGTCAAGACGCATCGAATGAACTATAACTTGACCTTGAAAGGTCAACTTGAAAATTTGACCTCAGGTCAAGGTCATGACCTGACCGGAAAGGGTCATGTTGCATATCAGTCGATCCGTATCGTCGAGCTGAACACATCTAAGGCGTTTTCATCGCTCTAGTATGCCTCTATCACAAGCTATTTGCGAAAAACTGTTAGATACCATTCGTGACCTAAGATGACCTCAGGGCATAAACAAGGGTCACGGACACCATTTTCATGTTCTGTGTGTCTAAAACACTTGTAATTCGGTGTTTGGGAGTGTTTATAATGTCTTTCGTCCAAAAGAGGCGCATTTCAATTTTCTCCCATTGACTTATAATGGGACCGTATTAGAGCCGGCGATTATCACGGAACATTAGTGTCGGGGCAGACTGCGGCGGGGCAGACTGCGGCGACCCCTAGGAAGAACAACTAGGGAGAACAACATTCGACAGATGGCAGCACTAGACGAGATAATCAGGCAATACTTTATTATTAATGGGAAAGAAATAATGCCAATGTTTGCCCTCACCAAGCATGTTACCACGACAATGGAAGAATGTAGTGTAATACCCCTCCCCGGGCCCGCCGCGGGCTGGCAGCGGCGGCCGGAGCCGGTCCGACCTTTAGCCGGCCGGGTCAGGTAACCGGGACGGCCGCGCCGCGGCGCCGCGCGCGTATTTACAAATTGCAACCGAGCTCCGCCGTGGGGTAAGGTGGGCAGGGGTTTTCGCACTACGGCTGCGGTTGAACTACCGTCTGTGGTAGAAACTTCAGGACGATGGCGCGTTTCATACGAAATCTGGCGCAATGATTGTTTGCTTCTGAACTTGTACTTTTATTGCTGTGAATTCTTGAAGCGGGAGTGTTTCAATAACAATTTGTGGATTATTTGAGTTTCTTTGTATAAACATAGAATAGTATTATGAAACATTGTGTGGAAACTGCAAATACTGATATGATCAATTACTTAGTTTGGGAATTGATACACATTTTGTAGAGATTTGTCTGGCAAATGGTGTAACAAACCTCAAGCCTATCATGATCTGAAGCTGTTGTAACAAATCAAAATTGCTTTGATGTTACATAGTACCTTGTTGGAAAGACTGGAGCATGGTTCAAGATGATGTGTAAAAATTCAAGATTTGTGCGAAAGCTTGTGACTGAAGAACGAAAGCAGTTCGATATGATGGCTCTATCAAACGTGGAAATGGACGACAAAAGTAAAGTTTCAACGTTCCAGCATGTGAGAATAACTTCAGAAATTCATAGTTCTTGTAGTATTGCATTCTTTTTATGTACAGTTATAGGTTTTGTTAGGGTATTTCAAATTCATTGTGTCAGTTGAGATATAGATGGATTGCGGAAAATTTTAGAATCATTGCATGGTAGCTAGGTACTTGTTCGGTAAAAAGATATGTGATGAATGCCATGAGAAGGTTTTTTATGATTCAATGTATGGTCGTTGTTGACTGTTGTACCTACAAAAATGCAAGCTTACTAGCAACTAGTTTCTGAATCAAATCGAATGTATATTTTGCCATGAATGTAAATATGTAGGGGAAGTTGGGGGAACGCCGAATACTTTTTTTTCTGACGCCCGTAGCACGCAAGGTAGACAACATGAGCTATTCTTGTTGGCGTCATTCGAGAGGCCAGTCTTTTGCCTTTCAAACATACCAGGCGCATTTGATGAATTCGCATACCGTTAAGCGCACAAACTAAAAATATTAAAGAAGTGACTTTTTCGGCGCTGCCCCGGACTGCGGGGAAAGCCGAAATTGGGAGAAATGATCTACGGGGAATGCCGACATTGATGTTTTGCCACTTTATCTCAAACTTTATCCAGAATTTATCAAAGCTGACACGCGTTTTAACCCTATTAGTGGCAGGCTCCTGGCTACCCCATATTAGTGGCAGGGGGGGGGGGCTGTTTACGACCCCCCTTGATATCTCGAGATCTAACCGGCCGATTTTCAAAATTCAAACGGCATTCGATTTGGCTCAACGAGATCTACATTTCTAAAAAAAATAAAATTAAAAAATGTCAATAGGGGGGTAGAGGGGGGTAAAAATGGGCAAATTGCAGATACATTTTAGACTGTTTATCACGGCCAGGTTTCTGAACCAATCTTAACGCAACTTTTGCCGAGCGATAGAGAATGAACCAGGAATTCACATGGATCCTAAAAATATGCATTTTCAAAAATCATAGGCGGATACAGATCATTGAGATTGGGGGTACACAAAAAGTATAGTAAATAAGGTTTTTGTTGGTACTGTTTCTAAAAAGGGTGGCAATGGTCTTGTTATGTTACAATTTTCTTATGAGAGAACGACTAAAATTGTATTGGTCATGCATAGGCGGTGTCAGGGCACCTATGTTGGGAGGTAAAAAATAGCCCCCCTTTTTGGACGCCTGGATCCGCCTATTATAGCAAAAACGTGTCAAAAGAGGATGCACAATAACTTTGTATATGTCATCACATGATACCTTTCATTCACTGTTCGTAAAACTGGTGCAGCATCGTGATCTTCGCCCAAATGACTCGCTTCACGAATAGGACCCCCAATTCCCAGTGCTCTGGAGCCGCCCCTGGTAAAGTTATGAACTTGAAATTTTCAGGGAATGTGCCCAATTTAGTTTTAGGAAAAGTCAGAAAATTTCAGCATCGTAGCTTCAGCGGTTTCGGAGATATTCCCGAAAAACCTGAGGGGTGGATAAAAACAACCCCCCCCTGCCACTAATAGGGTTAAGAGCTTGAGGACGCTTGGTGCACACTGGAAGTCATAATTGTGTGATATGATAAGAAAATGCCAGGTAGATAATTCCTTATAGGTAACAGGCCGTTGTGTCGGTTGAAAGTGTAATTTGTGTGACTAAAAATTCGCGTTGCTATTCTACAGCAGTTAAGTCCACGTAGCGTGCTTTAACGCACGCGTAATTGCACGTTTTCGGCATTACCCCAGCCAGCCATACTTTCATTTGCAGGCCCATAACTTTTCAACGTGCCGTATAAATTTCAAATAGGCAGCACACTTATGCAAAGACATGCTGAAGATTACTTGACCGAATTGGCCAGACAAACGGTAGCATAATGAGTAAGAAATGCAGCTTCAAAGGCGCATGTAGTACAAGGAACGCGTACCTTGAAAACGCTCTTGGCGCCCTCACAGCCGAACTATTCCGAATGACGACTCGTAACAAACATGCGATAATTGTAGTCACTTAAGCTTCAGAGCATCACTGACAGGTGGCATCCATGTCTTACGGTTTTCGAAATATCTCGAATTTCGGCTTTGCCCCAACTCCGGCATTGCCCCAACTTCCCCTACCTGCAAAGTATGTCAATAAATTTGTGTGATGTTGACCAGAGAGTTTTATCATCTAGGCATTTATGTCGCTTCTTACATTAGGTGTTAAGCATAGTAATTTGAATTACGGATGAACTTTGTGCCAATATCTTCAATGCACAATGTATGTAGCATGTCTACAACCCTCACTGATCCTGCTATAGCTATAGGCATTTGGCACCAGCTTGACCAAGGGCATGAACTTCACAGTTGCACAACCTTTTGTCATGTACCACCAGTCACTTTTTTACTTAACCCGCGCGGGGCTGGGGGGGGGGTAAATTTTACCCCCCTCGCGAATTTTTGCGATATCTCAAAAACGGCGGCGCGCAGCGCCGCCAAACTTTCAGTACCTTTTCTTACATCAATTTGACACGTTCCCTGAAAAATTTGAGCGAAATCCGTCGGAAAATTTTTGAGAAATTGACGTTTTAGTGACGTCATGTTCGTCATTTTCGACTCAAAAACGGCAAAAGTTCAAACGCCGCTAACATCTTCATTTTTAAAGGAATCAAGACGTAACAAAAAAAAGGTTATACGTAATTTTACTTTGTCTATCAAATGGCTATCTCGGTTTTTTGAAAATTTTGGATTTTGGCCTAAATTTTTTCAAAAAACTGACTTTTTTGGGAAAATCATTATAAAATCCAAAATTTTGAGTCTATCGAAAAAAGCGGAATATATGTCAGAGAAGTGGTCTATGTGCACCTACATACCAAATTTTAGAAGAATCGGTTCAAAAATGTGGGAGTTATTCAAAATTATATGACGTCACGACACACAAAATTTTTGAAAAATGACTTTTTTGGAAGTTGTAGACCTCGTACGAAAACAAAAATAGCACCATTCGATTCGCCGTGAAAAACTGCATCAGATAGACACCTTTTTAGGCCTTAACAACCAACTTCAAAATTTGACCTCACTTGACCTGACCTTGACCTGACCTCGACCTGAAATTCATCCAGAGGTGGTCCATATCACTTATTGAGTGTGCCTATTGAATGCTATGAGTAAAATGACCTATAAAACATGTGTCGCACATGCCCTTTTCTATATTTTGTTTTTTGGTGACCTGACCTGACCTGACCTGACCTTGACCTTGACCT